TGGAATCAAACTTTTGTCAATGTTTACCTCTTGACAGAGGCTGTGTACACATGTCCATTTACTCTGCATCCAATGCACTCCCACCACTGGTTTGGTAAGCAGTGTGCATGTTAACCACAATCCATATCTATCCTGCTGTTTCTTATGAAATACTGCATTTTGGTGCATTTTGCCTCAAGTCAGCCTCAAACTGAATTGAGAAAAAGAACCTAGCAACGTTTTAAGCTGATAATGTGTACACAGCCAGAGCATTTTCAGGAAGGCTTCTTTTACATTCGGAGTTTAGTAATTCACTTTAAAAATATATTATTTTTAAAAATCCCTTATTACCAAAATCCTCTCTTCTACTTTCTCTGTCTGTCTGTCTATTTGTCTGTCTGTCAGCAGCAATCATGTCTATACACTTGCCTCTCAAGCATCTTGCCATCCCATAATTTAGGAATAAGGAAACTGAGACTATCTAGCTTTTGCTGTACTGCAACTCCCATCATCCCTGGTCATGGGCCATGCTGGCTACGACTAATGGGAGCTGGACTCTCACCACAACTGGAGGGCTGCATGTCTCTCAACCCTGCCATAATTAAAGCAGCAATGCTTAAGGCACATAGGGGGAAAGCCACTTGAGTTTGATGTGACGTACTTCTGAGGAAACAGGCTTACAATCACACAGCCCAAGAGAAATAAAAAATAGTATACATTTGGGGTTTTCCTGTTCATTGTTTTGTTTTTCACACTGTTGCTGCTGTTTGCATGCATGCAAGATTGCACCTGCAATCTTTCACAAACGGGATTTGCAACAAAATGATGCAGCGTGCAATGCAGTTTTTCAGGGTTCTAGACACTTCAATCCACTGTCCCCCAGTTTTCCTCGCCCCTCGAGAATAAGCTGGCATTCCATGCCCACCGAGCATGCACATTGGGCTATGGGGGGGGGGGCTTTCTTTCTCTTCCTTAGATTTCCCCCCTCTTAAATCCTTTTGCTCTTTCTGCAAATCTTGGGTCTCCCTGAAGTCTGCTTATACTTGTGAATGGATAATGCCATGTTGGCTACAACAGCGCTCACAGCCCAGATATCGGAAACGCAGGGAAAGGTGGAGTAGTAGCATCTGGACTTCACCTAAAGCTGGCCTTTCTCTCCTGAAGAAGAGTTCTATCCCACTCAAAAGCTTGCTGCACAGCTGGATGATTTATTTGTCTTGTTTTCCCCCCAAAGCATCACTTTGCCTTTTTCCAGTTCTAAGTAGTGAGAAGTTCCAGGGGTAGCACTAAAGAATTTTGTTTGTTTTCAGTGGTTGCTGCTGCAGCCAATGGCAATAAGACCGACAGTAGGTGGAGCCCGAGCCACTGACACTCGCAGCCAACTAATTCTAGGTTTCTGATGAGTTCTACAAAGGCAGCTGAGAGCTAAGGAGGAGGAATTTGGCAAACAGTGCCACCCCCAGGACTGGATCTAAGCAAGGAGACAGGCAGATAAGGGCAGGCTGGCAGTAAACTGAGCTTGGTGGGGCAGTGCCCTATTTGCCCAAATCAGGCATAGGCAAACTCGGCCCTCCAGATGTTTTGGGACTACAACTCCCATCATCCCTAGCTAACAGGACCAGTGGTCAGGGATGATGGGAGTTGTTGTCCCCAAATATCTGGAGGGCTGAGTTTGCCTATGCCTGACCCAAATGGACCAGCCTCCACCATTCGTTTCATTTGGCCGGGAGAGAAATAATGATTTATGCTGCCTCTGTGATATCTGCTTTACTGACAAGCATGTAAGCAGGGGTCAGTGGAGGCATATACACCGCCATCAGCGGATTGCACAGCTGCTAACCCTGCACCAGCTCCCCAAAGACGATACCAAGGATGCTTCAGCTCACCTCCTTCACATCTTCACCTGATTTCCTTCCTCAGCCAAACTGGGCATTTCACAAACACACAAACTTCTGCAAAAACACTGGTCTCAGACCCCATCACTGACAATACTAGGAAAACAATAGATATGGGGGATGGGAGTCAGGGTAAAGTGCCCTAGCCAGGAGGTCTTATTATCACATATTCAGTTTCTGAAAAACAATTAATGGTAAATTTCACATTGGTGCTCTTATCTGAAGCATTCGCTCCCCCCACCCAAAAAAAAAAAAATGTATCAGAGAGTCTTGTGACACCCTAAACAAGGGTGGTGAACCTCAGGCATTTCTCTATACCCTTCTTGAGTGCTTTTGCCTGGTTCAAAAGTTTCCTTCTGCTATGGTTGTAGTTCTTGCTTGGCTAGATGGAGGATTGAGAGGTGTCTGTGTGTGTATGATAAAACATCTGATTTTTGCATGGCTGGAGTGTAGCCTACTGAATAAGACTCATATCCATTGCCCCACTTAATTTTGCCTTCTTCCTTCCCAACCCGGCATGTGGCAAGTGGAAGGTTGCCCACAAGTTGATGTTTCTCTTGGGCTTAAAAAGATCCACCACCCTCCTCCAGCACACATGCATACTATGCTCTAAAGATGAAGGTGTTTATTGTGGCACAAGGTTTTGGGGACCGTAGTCCACTTCATCAGATCCACAAAGTGTAATTCTGAATTGGCAGGTGTATATGCACAAAGGGTGTTGGAAGGGTGCAACACAGCTTCCTGAGAGCATTTTGCATGGGTTAAGATGGATAGATGAAGGGACTTCCAGACTACCCCTCTACCTTTATCACTATGCTGACTTCTCTCTTTCTCTTTGATGTTTAGATGGTTTACATCTTAAGTTGCAGCCTGTTTACAACTTCCTGGCCCTCCTCACTTTCTTTCTCTGAACTTCAAGGCAAGAGGTCACCTTGGACCTCTCTCCTGAGGACAAAGTGGCAAACATGGCTTCTTTGTTTCTTCAACCAGATAGTTAACTAGCACTATGAAACTCTTTCCTATCAAGAATGTACTTCCTTTCATAAACATAATTATTTTATACCAAGTCTCAGTCTGAATACCTTTCAGCTAAAGGGGTGCTCCAAGCATGGATTCGTTTAACAAAAGTTAACTTCTGCTGCTGCATATAAACCCTCTATGCTAACAAAGGGTTGGAGTGGATTGGAGGGAACGGAACACAAAAAAAGGACAGGTGGGGATGATTATCATCATAGTGGTCAATTTACAAGCCAGCATTGGCAATAACCCAAACACCCTGACACTAGTTGCTCATTAACACTTGTAGTGTATAAAAACAAATGCCCATCCGTTGCCGAGACTGTAAGTCCCTGCCAGTGGCGGAGCTTCATGCTCCGGTACAGAGGGGGTGGAGAGCATGTGGGGGCAGGGCTGGCGCACGTCCCAGGGGCGGGGTGCACCGCCCGCAGGGGCATGGCACGTGTCCTGGAGGTGTGGCACGCCTCCTGCAGAGGCGGGACATGTGTCCTGGGGGCGGGGCATGCCGCCTGCAGGGGCGTGGTGCCCAGCGTGGGCAGCTGCAATGGCACCCTACTGGGATCACACTACCAGGGGCGGTGCACTCCCCCCGCACTCCCCTTCCTCCGCCAGTGTTCCCTGCCTCCCCACAACCGTCTATGTTCCTGAGCTTTTTCCAAGCAATTGGAGACAGTGCCTGCATGAAGCTAACCTCTCCTCTGCCCTTTCATGCCTCTTCTGGTTCTGGGAGACAAGGGGGAGAGGAGCTTGTCACAGCAGGAGGGGGAGACATCCTTAACTCTTCACCAGCCTGACTCACCTCTTCCTCTTGGCCTCCATCCTTCCACTCTCCTGCTTCAGCTTCAGCTTCTGCTTTTGAACTTCTTTCTGCCACACACTCTCCCAGCTTATCTTCTCCCTCTTCCCTCTCTGACCGCTCATTGTTGTCCCACCACCACTCCTTAGGCTCTGAGCCTCCTTCTCTTGGTGGTTCCACAACTGGTTCCTGCCACTGTTTCTCTGAGTCCAACAAGTCAATGACAGCTGGAATACAGATTATTGTACTAAGGTAAAAGTCGCAGCCAATACTCTACCCAGTTTTGCCCAAGGCCCTTCCCACCTCTTTCAAGTGCTCTCCCTAGAAGGTTGCCCATGAGGGAAAGCAATCCTTGGGGTGAGGAAGATTCCCCACTCCTTAAGTAGACAGTTTCTGCCACAATAAATGTGTTTGTCTTTAAGGTGACACAAGACCTTTCGTTGTGTGTGTGTGTGTGTGTGTGTGTGTGTTTCAGATCTCCCTTCTAGAAAATATTTTCTCTGAAATAGGTTATTTTTATTTCAGTGGAGTGAACTTTCAGGTAAACGGACAGTCTCATTTTAACATCTACTCTATGACTCAGTTATAATTTGCAAGTGAAAAGTGCCTTTCTTTCATGTATCTACAGAAGTCCAGCTATGGGGATGGAAACAAATGGAAAATGAGGAAAACAGGAAGCAGGACAAACTCTGGCAGAGAGAGAGAGAGAGAGAGAGAGAGAGAGAGAGGCAAGCAAAGAAGAATCTGAAGAGCACATGGCTAAAAGTATTAAACATGACAATTTATTTACATACATCAGAAGCAGACAAAGGAAGTAGCAGCAAAGGAATTAAAAGTGCGGGTGGTGCTGTGGGTTAAACCACAGAGCCTAGGACTTGCCGATCAGAAGGTCGGTGGTTTGAATCCCCACGATGGGGTGAGCTCCCGTTGCTCGGCCCCTGCTCCTGCCAACCTAGCAGTTTGAAAGCACGTCAAAGTGCAAGTAGATAAATAGGTACCGCTCCAGCAGGAAGGTAAACGGCGTTTCCGTGCGCTGCTCTGGTTCGCCAGAAGCGGCTTAGTCATGCTGGCCACGTGACCCGGAAGCTGTATGCCGGCTCCGTCAGCCAATAAAGCGAGATGAGCGCCACAACCCCAGAGTCGGTCACGACTGGTCCTAATGGTCACGGATCCCTTTACCTTTACTAGAAGTCATGGTGAAGATTGAACATAGCAGCCTGCTTTATAGGAAGCCAGACCATTGGTCCATCTAGTTCAGTATTGCCTACACTGACTGGCAGCAGTTCTACAGGGTTTCAGGCAGAAGTCTCTCTCAGCCCTACCCAGAGATGTCGGGATCCGAATTTGGGACTTTCTGCATGCAAGGCAGATGCTCTGCCACTGAGCTACAGCCCAGACTGGAGATAAGCTGGATCATTTCTTTGCATCTGCCTTCTTGGTGAAGGACAGTTAGCGCACTAAGCCAACTTTTTCTGGGCATCTGAAAAACTGAGTAAAATAGATACAGCTAGTGCCAGGGCTTATCAAGAAATTAAAACTGGACAGTTCACTGAACCAGCTGAGAATTCTGTAGGAAAGAACTCGGATCTGAAATTGCTGATCTTCGCACACAAGTATGCATGTTGTCACTAAAACCAGCCTCTGAATAGAAGGGAGTCCACATAATTTGATTTTTTTTTTTTTAATGCAAGGATCTGGGAAATGACAGGCCAAGGTGATATCCACACTATACATTTATAAAGAGCTTGGCTTCTCGCATGGAACCCTGGGAACTGTTGTTTACCCCTCACAGAGCTACGTGCCCAGCACCCTTAACAAACTATGGTTCTCATGATTATTTAGTGAAAGCCATGTGCTTTAAATGCATGTTAATGAGCTTTAAATGAATGGCGTGGATGTGACTCAGTTAGCTTAATAGCTGTTCCTTCCTGAGAAGCTGGTGGAAAGTAGGATTAGAGATAGAACAAGTGGCTACTGCAACAAAATGTTGTACCGTGGAGGATTCCTATTCACTGTTTCGGTGTTCCCATCAGTTAGCCATGCACTCTTCCGTTATAGTTCTGCTGGGGAAGCCCAGCCAGATGGGCGGGGTATAAATAAATTATTATTATTATTATTATTACCCACACACCACAGCAGTTGGCATCCCATGGTCAATGAGAATATGCTTTAGGCTGTTGTTTTGCGGGTTCCCCCTCTAAGGCATTTTTCTCTCCTCATCTGGCTTTTCTCTTTTTACTTCACAAACCTCCCAGTGCTTGCTGGTGCCTTCCCTTTGTGCATGAGCAGAGCTATTTGTCACTATATACACAAACACACTCATAACTGAATGCCTGAAATTAAGAAAATGATTATCAAGCATATAGAAGAATTGCTGAGAAGGAATCAGCATGGCTTCTGCAGAGGGAAATCTTGTCTCACCAAACTCGTGGACCTCTTCAACGTTGTGAACAAGTATATGAATAGGGATCATCTGACAGACGTTGGATTCTTGGACTTTCCCCAAAGGGAAGGCTAAAGCTCTGGAATGTTAGTTTTGGGGTGGGGAGAGATGTCAAAGTGTTTAGAACAAGGTTAGCCATTGTGCTGCCCTCCAGATGTCGTTGGACTCCAATTTCCATCAGCCTCAGCCAGCACGGTCAAGGGTGATGGGAGTTGTAGTCTAGCCACATCCTGAGTGCAGCACTTTGGTTACCCCCGGTTTAGAACATTAGCTTAGCGGAGAAATAAATATGTTGAAGGGTTTGGAAAATGATGCATGCCATTGTGGAGTACATGCATAGGGAGACCTTTTCCTCCCTGCCTCATCAATCACTTGAGCTCCTTGCGGGGAAATTGATTGGCAGTAGAGTCAGGGCAGAAAGAATAGCGTACAGCTTCACACAATGCACAGATGATTTATGGAAATCAATGAGAAGAGTTGTGATGATGGGCCCTAGCACAAATGGCTTTAAAGAGGTAGGACTGGTATGTCAAGCGGTTTTAGTCAAGACAGCCAAGCTGAGCCTCCATGTGCAGAGGCAGCATATTGCTGAATACCCCTGAAGGGCCATAGCATAGCAACTATTTGCTTTGCATGCAGAGGGTCTGAGGTTTGATCCTCAGCATCGACAGGTAAGGCTGGAAATGAATATTGTCTGAAACCCTGGGGAGCCAGTGCCAGTCAGTGCAATCAGTACTGAGTTAGATGGGGCAATGGTTTGTCAACAGCATTTATATGCAGCAGCAGAAGCTAACTTTAGTTAAATGAATCCTTGCTTGGAACACCCCTTTAGCTGAAAGGTTTTCAGACTGTGCCTTGGTATAAAACAAGCAAGATTACATTTATGAAATGAAGTACCTTCTTGACAGGAAAGAGTTTTATAGTCCTAGGTAACGATCTAGTTGAAAAAATAGAGAAAACCTATTGGTGTTTCGCAACTTTCTGACTTGTTGCAGGACCTTAGCCAGACCTAGCAGAGTAAACGCAGAGTCCACAAAAGCAATTGGCAACTTGGCTGCAGACAGGATGGACGAAGCAGGAACCAGGAACTTGTAGTTAGGTGTTTATTATATACAGTGGACTATTTACAGGAACAAAACAGAACACGGATCTTAGCTAGCTCTCTCCTACACGACTCACAACTCCTACACTTAAACTCGTACTAACACATTCCAGTTAGTAGGCCATTAATCATTATTCCCGTGAGAGAGCTTGACCAATCATGGAGCTGTCTCCATGCCTCTGTATCACCAGGCAGACTTACTCCTTCACATTGCCTTGGTTGTCTGCCAAACCCTAATTGACTCTGTGTATGTAGCTGCATGTATTCAGATTCCCAACAGCTATGTTTGCTGCTGTGTCCTCAGAAGAGAAATCCAGAAGAAAGGCCTCTCACCTCAAGGTCCAGATAAAAGCATGTGAAGAGGAACAGGAAGGTGTCAATGGGATGCAGCCTAGGAAATATCAATCTGAACATGAAAAAGATAAGCAGAAGTCAGCATGGAGCTAAAGGTACAGGGATAGTCTAGAAAGCTCACTTACTCTATGTGTCTTAATCCATGCAAATTCCTCTGAGCAGCCAAGTTGCACCTAAATTTCCAGTACGGTCTGATCCTTAGTAAGGCAGATTCCTTTGTTCATATGTCCAGTCACTGGGAACAACAGTGAGAAAAGGCTGTTTACTTCAAGCTCTGTTTGCAGGATTCCTGGAAGCATCTGGTTGGCCACTCTGAGAAGCAGGATGGTAAGCTAGGTGGGGTACCTGCTGGACTCAAGCTCTCCCCAGCCCCACCTAGCATGGGCAATGGTCAGTGATAAGTCCACTCAATTTCTATAGTGGGCAGTGTTGTGGCCAAGCCTTGGGCCATGCCAGGTGACCCAACGAATGGCAGGTTGGATCGCCCAGCTGCCAGCTATGGTATTTGGCCAATGCCGGCAGTCTTTGGTCAGGCATTCCAAAAGGCCCAACCAACCAGTGGGGATAAATTTTGGTCTGCCCAGTGCCCTTCCTTAGCATTTTTCATTGGATCTCCCCACCCCCACCTAGCATGGGCAATGGTCAACCATAATGGGAGCTTGTATTCCAGCAACATCTGGAGAGCCACAGCTTCCCCATCCCTTGGGCCTGACCAAAAAAAGCTCTTTTTATGCATGGACCACCAAAAGTTCCTTTTCACCTTTTCCACCCACCTCCGCTCCCCTCCTGTCCCTTTGCACCTTCCACTGCCGCCGGGATGAAGCAATCAGTTTGCTTGGTCGAACACATGAGTGAAGATCACCGAAGAGGATGTCAAATTGCTGCCTCCTTGAGCACCACACCAGCTCACAGTGCGTCAAAGCGCAAGATTGACAGATCTTGCGCAAGAGGGTTTCACAACAAAATCATTCTCTTGAGAAGGAATCATTGGTTCATTTGCAGGACAGGGAGAGGCTGTTAGGGATCAAGATGTTTGCACTATATCCATTTGCTTGTGTTTTCCCCTCACCTCTGCTCAAAGCTCCCTCCAGTTTATTTATAATTGAAAAGCTCTGGGGAGATTTCCCAGCAGCTCAGCTTGGCACCAGGCTAGCTGCTGCTTCTGCATTGGATAGTGCCATAAGGCATCCCCTCTTTTCACACTCCATTAGTGCCCTCCCCTTTCCTGCTTCCAAAGATGACACTCATTTTCCTTGCCAGCTTCGCTACCAAAAGGAATTGGATGGTGATCAAAGCAAGCCACTTGTGCCAATCTTGTGGGGCAATGGATGGGCGGTGGGGGGCATAGATGTGTCACTTAGCCTCGTACAATAATCTATATTCCAGCCATGTAGGAAACAGAGGTTTCTATGCTAACATGTCTCTATCCATTCATCCAAGCATGCAAGAGGCATTGTCATAGTGCCAGGACACTCAAAGTTGGATCAGAGGAGGATTGAAGAGAGCTTGACTGGTTTGCCCACTCTGGGTGCCAAGCTGAGAGGGCGCTGCAACAATGATGAACAAATAGGAGGGGAGAGGAGGGGGGTGCTGAATTTTGGCGTTGCAGGGGGTGCCACCGAAAGCCCAAAGTCCACCACTGGTTGGGCAGGAACAGGGCTAGTGAGTAGCCTGGAAGGGACCATTGCCTGCAGAAAGTCCTGAGGACAGTTGCAGTGGTCTGGAGAGTCACGTTTGCCCAAACCCCTAGGGCCCAAGGCTCCCTACCACTAGGCTAGATAATTGGCCTTAAGGTTCAAATGCCTGAGTGGCCTGTTTGGACAAGCCGCTTCCAGCAGATTCAGCTCCCCAGCTGCAAAGAGGACAAAGTCATGACCTGCTTCTACGGATGCTGATGACATGAGCAAACAAGGGAGTCACAGTTTGGATTTTTCACTGCTTGGCGTCCCAGTATTTATTGCAAGTCTTAGGTGCCCTTTGCCCCCCAACCCCCTGCCAGCTCTTATTCTGCTTGAAATTAATCAGGAATGTTTGAGATGATGTCCTGCTTTTTCTGCCTGTGTGGTCAGCAGCATTCATCAGACCAGGTTGACAAGGCGGGTAACTCCTGCTGTTGGCTCATTCCTAGAACGTGATTGCTTTTAACTCCTTACAAAGTCAGGGCTGAACTAGACCTTCTGCACACTGGGCTGTGTTCAATGCTAATCCTATTCAGAGTTGTTGTTGTTTAGTCGTTTAGTTGTGTCCGACTCTTCGTGACCCCATAGACCAGAGCACGCCAGGCACTCCTGTCTTCCACTGCCTCCCGCAGTTTGGTCAGACTCATGTTTGTAGCTTCGAGAACAGTGTCCAACCATCTCGTCCTCTGTCGTCCCCTTCTCCTTGTGCCCTCCATCTTTCCCAACATTGGGTCTTTTCCAGGGAGTCTTCTCTTCTCATGAGGTGGCCAAAGTATTGGAGCCTCAGCTTCACGATCTGTCCTTCCAGTGAGCAC